TGTTACGTTTTCTTGGCATATATATATGACTGATAAAATCCCTTCATCTGAAAAAGAGAATTCACTTTCCTTTTTCCTCCCTCCCCTCCTTTCTGTCTTTCTTTGCTTACTTGATTAGTTTTTTATTTATTCATCTAATAGTACTTGATCAAGGATCGAAAAAGACGAAAGCGTAACGGCGAAGCTAACCAAACACAGGAGTTCATTGGAGAAGAGAAAAAACTACAAACCACTGAACAAGAGCCTTCAAATGTCAACGTATCTCCTTATGTTCACGTCGAGGAGGTAAGCTGATTTTCTGCATTAACGTACAGCTGCAATTTATAGACTACAAGTGCGGCCCCTATTGGGCAGTCGAAATAAAAGGCTACTTGTACAAGTTCGTAAAAGCTTTCAGTATTAGAGGAGCTCAGTCGCGGTATTTTGATATATTTTGGCTACGTACAAAATTACAATTAAATTGAAGGAAAGCTGAAAATAGTAGTTTATTAAGAGAGAAAAACACCAAAGAGATAATAATAAATCATAACGGATCAAGTATGGTTAAGGACAGAGAAGATCAACACGGATTGCGAACGAAGAACATGAAAAATTTAGGCTAAACTCTTCAAGATGCACAAACTGTGACGTAGCTCCTTTAATTAAACTATCGTGGCTGGCTGGTAAATCATATACAACGCCGTTGCAAGACAATTTACTTGGCGTCAATGGTAGAGGATTTAAAAAATACTCCAGCAAGCTTTCCATCAAGAGAACTGTGAGTAGCAACATACAGTATACATGATAAGAAAAACCAAAAAACTTTCTAATCCACAGTGCCATTTTGAAAACAGTTTTTCACGTGAAATGCATTCTCCGACAGCAAAAGTTATTTTAATAGACCCTTTATGTAATAGACGTATTCGGCTGACGTGTTTACATCCTTGTTGCCACCCAATTCAGACCACGTGATGATTCATTAGGGAGGTTACAATCCTCCGTAGGAAAAAAAATGGCGACTGGTACATTTACCCATAATTCTTACCGCATGAAAACCTTAACAACGTTCATAAAAACGTACGGAAACGTCAAAAATCTCCAAACCTAGGCTACTTAATGTCTTTAGTACAGGGACAAATATTTTAAAATTTTGGCTTTCTTTGTGTCTTATAGGCTGTGTTAGGTTCGCAAGGCATTGTGGTAAAATGTACAGCGGCGATCTTTTTTCCTACCGTAGATTGTGCAATTTGCGTCTCGCAACTGATTGCATGGGTGTATGTACAAACAGAACAATTGTAACCTCCCAAATGAGTCATCACATGATCTGAATTGACCTGTATCCTTTTATGAAAAATAACTGAAATTTCGTGTTATAAACGTACATCATTCCGAAAAATTAACCGTAAACCGTCAAATGATCTAAAATACAATCGCCAACCGTCAAAACGGCTTATTTTTAACCGTCAACCGTCAAAGAGACCCTCCCCCCCCCTCCCCATTGGAACCCCTTCTACTGTGTCGGTGGGTAGTCCGTGTTTTTGGGGTTTGTCGCATAACTCTAATCCAATATTTGTTTCTTCAACTTTGACAGCCCAGCCACGCCGAGACGAAGTTCTAGAGTTCCAGGTTATACACCAGCAGCTTCTAACCCGACAGAGGACTTCAACGTATAGACCAACTGAAAAAACGACGTTGTAATTGTCTATATATTTCTTGTATTATATCGTGTCTTTGTTAGGTCTCATTTACGCTCTTTTCAAATACTGTTTAACGCTAATTGCACGTAAGATTAAACAGTGCGTCATTTTCAGATTGAACACATCCATGTACAAGTACGGTTCATCAACGTATAATTCCCTTATGGTTTAGTGTCATCTCCTTCATATCCTTTTACCTTAGGAAAACAATGCAAATTATATATTTCAAGGTTTCCTTGGGAATAGCGCCATCAATGTGCGGATAAATCGTAACAAAGCTTCTCCAGTTGTCCTTTTAAGCTTTAACAGGTCATTGCTTCTTATTACGATATCAATAAAAATAAGCGTAAGACATGCAGATGACGAGGAAACTTCAAATCACTGACTGAGAATATTTCCTTAATCGATAATCGATTTCTTCCAGCTATACTGTTATACGAAATATAGCACTTATACCAGGGTATTCTCTTAAATTTAGACAAGAAGAATGTACCCTTTTGTTTCAACGCTTCAAGGTTATTGACTGTTATAGAGAATATGCCCTCTGAGGTTAAGTTGCATGCGGTTTTGATTGGCGTGCACATGTATTTTCAAATACTAATGCCAGTTTAAATTTGTACTGATTGTATTGTTTTATAGTTATATAGCCACATAAGCACAAGGGAGAGGTGTAAAGACACGTGTTCTCTTGCATAATTTATTTGTTTTTCTATTCATTCATTTGTTCATTGTTCTCGCTTTAATTGCTTCCAATTTAAAAGAGAATGGCTGTAATTAGTAATAAAAGACAGAATTAACACCGAAGCAAATAAGAGTTTATAGCTACTATACATATGCACAGTTTCACTGAGGTCGTCAATATATGAAAGTGCATGAGAAATAAACAGTCAAATTAGCACAATATTATTATTTCTATCCCTTCTCCTCACGCGCCATTTATAATCAATATTTCCCAAGTGCCCACTTCTCAAGTTTTAAAGCATATGCTAAATTGAAATCGTATTTATGCAGATCGCTGGATTTGTTGTCCCATGTGAATTTAACAATAACAAGCACAGCTGTCGGAAATACTTTTTTATTAATTTTCTTCTTTCTTTTCATTTCTTCAAGAAATTATGGCGCATTTCTTAACAAAAGACCTAGGAAGCCAACTGACACATTGAGAAAAATCAATTAAGTAACTGACTCATTTTCATAAAAAGAGGTCTCCATCACATTTTATCATATTTTTTTGGATAAGTTTTATCAAAATAGGGTAAAGACAAACACGCTATGATATTTGGTTGTTTTGAAAGGTACCTTAAAATTGTATATATTGTCATCCTTGTCATAACTAGAAAAGCGCTGCACTTCTTAAATAATTGTCAAGACAATATTGTAGAAAATATGATAAACTTGTTGGCAATGGTCGCTAATTGGCGCTCAAGAAGGAAACAAACAAAACTCGTCCGCGGGAAATGTACACTCAGACGCCAAAGCATTATCTGAGAAATTGCGATCAGGATTATTTTTCTGCATTCTAATTAATATTCTCTTAACAAGAGTTGCGCGACCACTAGTAAGCATAGTAAATAAAGTAAGGAGCTTGAAGAAATTCACCTGATCGCAGTTCAATAAATTATAACAGAAGTTTCACATCGCGCCCTCATCAAATCCTTCGAGATAGAGACACATGATATCAGTGAATTTGATTCTCAATTTCCATGCGGATGTCTACAACGATACCACGATCTTTGATTGGTCGCTTCTCGCCTTTTATCTTCCAATCAACCAATGAGAAGCATTGCACGAATTTCTCAGTGTATACTACGTCACCGGTAAATAATTTGTCGGGCGGAATCTTCGATGAGTTATATTTTTCCTCAACTCTCACGCTACGGAATTCAATAAGGACAGTAAGGTAACCTAAGTGTGTTTTAACATTTTGTGGTCGTCTGTTTTGCCTCTCATTTCACCTTGGCCAAAGCGGACGAAGACAAACCATATAAAAATAAGGCTTAGTAACAATAAGAAACCTTTACACGGTGGGAGGCCATGGGAATACTGGCGTCGATGGCCCACCTTGATCTAAAACGCTTGTTTAAACCTCATAAGAGGTTTACATGTCCATTCGAGAGAACGTGAAGACCTGAGAAAAGGTAGTCTGTTCCAAACGTTAGAGCGAATTTGGACTCATCATCAAAAATGTCAGTCTGGATAAAATTTTATTTCGATTTCCAAGTCTATGAATAAATTTAGGAAGTCAGGATTCTGTTATTCGCAAGGCAAACATCTCAGATTATCAGACAAGTATTTCAGCGAGACTCATATAGTTGAAAAAGAAAATTGCTTTCTCCAAATTAGACAAAGAAAAAAAATTACAAGCAAGTGAGCCACTCATTGAGCACTATGTTTATCAGAACTTTGTCCTTTGGGCAATGACCATCAACGTTTACATTCACTTATCGCCTTGGATCAGACTGTGTGCATTTACAGCTTTTCACTATGCTTAGCAACCGAGTTATAAGTCGTCTCTCACGCAGACGCAGTTGCGAAATACAATAAAACCTTTGTTGTCACCCATTAGCCCGAAATAGAATCGGCAACTTTCAATCGGTCGTAAATATACTTTCCTTCACCTTGTTACCTAAATACTCCCATGCTGGCTAGCACCTTGGTAACTGTATCATCCATATTGCGCTCTGAGTACAGAAAACTATTTTATATTTTACTCATGATTCCAGAGAAGGAAGACAATATTTTTGAGTGTGTATTATTTAGATTTATATTATTCATCATACAAAATGACTATTTTTGAATGCAATTTACTCAAAATGTTGTTCACTTTAAAATAGGAGTAAACCTTATGTTTGTTTACCTTTGAAGTAGAACACCTCGAAGAAGTTTGCAAACCAGTTGTACATAATGTTTTTTGCTGTCAAATCCTAATCGCAGGATAGAAAGCGAGATAAAAATTGTTGTATTTACCATTTTATACGCGTTTAAATTAGATCTAGCAAAATACAGCTCTAATATGTCGTGAAATCTCTAGTCTGTGAAGGCAGTTGAAACACTCTCCATAGAACGTCAAAAGTTCGTAAAATCTGTCTTGTATTTACGAAAACGAAAAGCAATAAAAGTGGGGACCGGATATAACGTATATTTTGAAATTGTTTAATGAAAAAAAAATGCCATTCAGAGATCTTGTAGTAGGAACGCGACACCGCAGAGCAAATTTGCCTACTTTAAGTAGTTTTCCCGAGGATTTCACGTCCTGATCACGAGGAGAAAAGTATTAAACGAAATCTGACATACATATATCAAAACGACATCAGAACATGTTTTTTTTTTCTTTAGGTAATTTCGTTTATATCTAGCTAAGGTGATCGCAGCTGCCTTGATGATGATTTGCTTTTGTTCTTCTTCCATGCAACTTCCTTTTGACGTCAACTCAAAAATAAGGACGAGAAGAAAAAAAAAAAACAGAATAAATTATTAAATAAGACATCTTGCCGCCAGAGTTCCGCAATCAGTCGTCAGCAAGGTTGGCTGGTGAAGGACGCCGTCGAGGTAAGATGCCAAACTCCTTGATTTTTTTAGTTGAACACCAATTGACGATTCTTTGACGAGAAGAATTTTAACTTCACATTCTTGCGTTGAAAAGTAATTAAAATCGATCGTTGGCGCGCTGTCGCAACATTTTGTTGCAAATTTTGTCGCAAAATTTTGTTGCCGTAGCACGCTGTGCAAAATGTTTAGAAACACTTGAAAAAAACCTGCAATACTGTCACTAGGCGAAAAAAGGTTTCTCGAGTGTTTGTTTAGTGACATCTTTGCCAATGACCCTCAGAACTTGACTATTGCATAACCTCGATATTTTCTTTAAAATTTTCTCTGTTCCCAACTGAAAATCAAAATGACTTAAGAGAACTAATATTATATTTCTAGAGCATTTTAACTGCCCCGGCCTGTAAATTACGCGCACAACACCAATAAACAATTGTACTCAAGCTTACTTACATGCAAACTATTTATTCTCTGTCGTACACTAAGTTATTTCTGTACATTATAAAGTTTTAATGCGATATTTTTTTACGTCGTCTGGGATAACAAGCAAATGAAAAGATTTTTCAAAAACACAACACAGAACCAAATTTATCTTCACAATAATCATGATTAAACCAACGTTGAAATATAGTCAGATTTATACAACTTTTTACAGTTTTTATAGATCTTCAATGCTTTTAAGTAATCAGCCTTTTATATACAGTTGAACCGTCAAAATCTTACAAAACTGATAAACGAAGGTTGTAATGTCTCGACTGAGTTGAAATCCTCTTCCAAAGCATATATCAGCAAAGCAAACGTCTCTTTTGCTTTACACGAAACGAAAGAGGATGTGCCATTATCAGCAGTGTTTTTTCCATTTTTTCCCGTCTGTTTTGCTTTTTTTGTTAATAACGTACAAACATTTGATGACGCAGAAAAAGGTTCCGGTGAAAAGAAGCGGTATAATGCACAAAATTTAAATTTCAATACAGGTAAATTAATTAAATAAACTAAAATGTTTATCACTCTGGATAGTCTCATAAGCGTAGGCGCGCTACACGCATACAAGAAGGTTTACATGCTTGTCTACGATGATTGGGTCAATAGCAAAACCTGGCACAATATCAGTGAATTACAAGACATAATGATCGTCCTGTCTGGTGAAATATAAACCCAAAGATACCTCTTCAGTTTGAGGTTTGTTTCCAGTTTTCGATGCATTTATGAAAAGCGCAATCTCGCTAGCTTACAATCCTAAATATATACAAAAAAAATAATAATAATAATCGAAATGCTATTGGTCGATCTCCCGAACCATCATAGACGATAACCAGCCATGTTCTTCGTGACACTTGTCTGGTCGGGACGCTTGATCTCCCTTGCAGTAGCTACAGTGGCGGAAACTTTTTCGAAAGCCAAGCTTTCAAATTCAGACAACACGTACGTCGTGTAGTTACCTATTACAACCAGACGTGTTTAAATTCGAACGAAAGCTAAGCAACGCCAGGATTAGAATAACAAGGGTCTGGGTTGACCGATATAAAAGAAGGCAATGCACAACACCATTTACTTTGAGGATCACCCTTATCATGACATAGCAAGAAATTTATTTTACTGAACCTTCCGCATTCAGTTTTGTAAGATTCGTGTTCGGTCGATTATGTACGAAATTTCTCAGATAATTGTCATGTGCAGGTTTCGTTGAAATTTTAATCCAAAAATCGCGTAGAAATTTCAGCTTAGATACAAAACGTATGGGTTATTGACCAAGTGTGAGGTCAAGATGGCTGGATATTGGCCGAAGGCCAATATCCAGCAATCTTGACCGAACAAGCTTGGTCAATAAAGGATTTATTATATGGTTTTCGGGAAAATTTTTCTTGCGGGACACGGCGGGTAGTCCCGAGCAGGCAAGATAGCTCCATCTTGCCCGCTCGCGTAGCCAAACACAGTGCAGGATTTGATTCATCTTGCCCGCTCACGGAGCTAGCCATATAATAATGAAAAATATTGCTAATTTAACTTTCATAATTCCACCATGGGTAATATAAACAGCAAGACGTGATATTTATTGGCGACTACCCTTCAAAGAAACAACACCACAGTAGTGCTTTGAGTGTGCCATATGTTTGGCATGCATTCTGGTTTTGTTTTCCAGGGCACGGTCACGAAAAACGAGCACTGCTTGCATTAAAACTGACCCAAGATTAAAAAGTCTATTATGTTAGAAAACATAAATAGGTTGCTCGACTGGCATCCAGTGTAAAGAGATTAAAAATAATTATGCATCCATCACATCCAACTTAAATGGCAAACGTCACGACTGACTACTTTTCCTTGTTAATCAGAAAAAATTAAAGATCAAAATAAAAT